ACCTGATGTCTGATGGACACGGCCTGGTCCCATGCCACCCTCACATTGTTATTCCTGGGGACACTCCAGCTCACAGTGGAACTCTCAGTTTCCAAAGACATCATGAAGCAGGCTGCCCTTTTCTGGGAGATCCTGTGGCAGCATGGGGGATGTATCAGGCTGTGAACAGAAGGTTTGGAGGTTTGAATCCACTAGTTGATCCGAGATAGGAAATGGCAGCTTCCTCACAGAGTCTGACTCAACTGGACAGCAGTGCATCTGGGCCTCTTTGTGTGGTGGCTCTCACCAGCTGGTTCCAGGTCTTTTTCACTAGCGGGTCTCCATCTGAAAACTCTGTTGGTATTTGACAGAGCTGCTGTCAACACGGAAGTCGCTAGAATACAACAAACCAACAGACGGGAGAGGGAGAGATGTTCTGTAAAACTACAGAGGCTGTTTGTTCACCCCTGTGTTTCATCTGACCCACCTGTCAAGGGCCCCCTGACCTGTTCCCCGATGAAGAGATGAGCACAGGATTTATCTGGCCATTTTGTCAGCTATTCACGAGCTGTGGTGCTGGAGAAGAGTATTGAGAATACCATGGACTGCTAGGAAAACAGATTTGTCCTGGAAAGGGTTAAATCGGGTGGCTCCTTGGAGGCAAGGATTCTGAGGCTCCATCTAACATACTTTGGACATGTTGTGAGGAAAGACTGGTCCTTAGAGAGAGAGATCATGCTTGGGAGGGTGGAGGGACGGCGCAGGAGAGGAAGGCCCTCTATGAGGTGGATTGATTCAGTGACTGGGGTAATTGGGATGGGTGTGTCAGAGACAGTGCAATTGGCACAGGACAGAGCGGAGTTTAGGGCTGTTGTACATAGGGTCGCTATGAGTCGCAAGCGACTCGATGGCACATAACAACAACAAACAACAACATTCACATAGCCACTGCGTTCTCCACCACAGGCATGACCGTTCTCCACCACAGGCATGACCGCCTCCAGGCAGACTGCCATTCAGGGACCCCTCGCACTCTCCTGGATGGCTGTGTCAAGGGAGGGCCTACCTCGGTCTCAAATTCTGACCCAAAGGGTTTGGCCCGTTCTTTTAAAGGCTGGCCGGAGAGGGGCTTCCCAGGAGGGGCCTCCGCCTGAGCGCGAGGAGGCCCACAGACAGGCGGAGTGACTCTAGTGTCGCAGCAGGCCGGGGGGGGGGGGGGGGGGGGGGGGGGATGCGCGCGGAGGGCTGCCCACGTCCAGGGCAGCAGGGTGGCCTGATCCTCACCCCTGCCTCCGAAATCCGCTGAGCTCGCTCTCACTCCAAGGCGAACCCTGCAATTAATCCACCGGAAGCTCGAGGCGCACTGCTCCGGGTCTTTCTGTTTTGCTCCCTTGGCCTAGATTTCCCCGGGGACAGTTTTGACTGCCCGCCGCGTGCCTGGTAAATTAAATGTTAAAAAAAAAAGAAAAAAGCCCACAATGACTTTAATCAATCCACCGAGGTGACAGTGGGCCCCTCCTCACAGCCCCCGGCCCACTGGAGAGAGCGCCCCTAGCCAGGTTCAGAGGCTCAGAGCAGTCAGCATGGGGGTGAAGGGGGCGGGATTGTGCTCAGCCCAGGGTGTGTTCCTGGACCCTAAACTTCCACAAATCAGTACCCAGGGGGCTGGGAGGAAGGACTAGCAAAGACAGGGAGGAGGAGGAATCCGAGGACCAGCCGCTGGCCTGGGAGTGGACGCGGGCAGCTCTGGTGGGAGGGGAGGGACCTGCGTTAATTGTGGCCCTGCGCCGGCTGATAAGGAGGTGTTTATGAAACGACCAGCCATTGCGGAAGCCGGAGGCGGGGAGGGGACCGCGCTCCGGCTTCTGGTCTTTGTGCCTCAGCTCTGCTCGGCTGGGAGGCCTCCCTTTGCTGGTTTACCTTCCAGGTCCTCTTCAAGGAGTGTACCCCAGCCCCAGTCTCCCCACCTCCCCTGAGCTCGCGTCCCTGCTCTCCCGGATGCGCCTCCAGGGGGCGCGCACGTGCTCGCCGAGAATGGCGCACAGTAGGCGGTTTGCGGTTGTACCCGACAGGTGGGCGCAAGGTGTTCCCACTTGATCCCAGGCTCACACATTTAAATTACCTGGATTGCAGTCTTAACTCTGGTGCCTTTACCGGTACCCAGCGACGGCAGGAACCCTCCAGCCAGTGGGAAGTTGTGGAGAGGCTCTAAGCTAGGAGTGGCGACTGGTGGGTGCAGAGGGGGGGCTCCCGGGCGGGTCCGTCACCACGCTGCTCTCAGGTCCTGGCGGGGTGAACCTGGGGATCCACAAGCCAAGGATGGGACGTGGGCTGGGGCGCGCCAGAGCACGACTGATGTAGAGGAGGCGCTGAGACACTGGATTCAGTGAGGAACTTAGGACGTGGGTGCCCAACACTGGAGGAGAGAGGGCCTTCACCACCCGGGAAGCGATGCTTGGCAGGAGCCACCTTCTCCCAGCCGGGTCCTGGGTCCCCATCCGTCGCCTCTAGCGGGTGCAGTCCTCGTCTTCCCAACCCCCTTCGCCCGCTTGCCTCGGTTCTCGGAGTCCCCGGCGCGCTCCCGGGCGCGCAGTCCCGGGCTCCGGCGCAGCACAGGCGGTTGCAGGGGGCGCTGTCGACGCGGGCGGGTGGGGCCGGAGCACGGGGACGCGC